AAAAAAAGCAATGTTACAAACCCAAAAAAGAAAATTGATGAATTTTCTTTTAGTTCTTTATTTATTAGATATTGAATAGGTTGACCTTACTTCATTATTATTTTTTACACAATATGGGCTTTTTAAAATAAAGTGGGTTTTTTTTAACAGCAATTATTTTTCCTGTTGAAAGTAAGGGCTAATGTAAGGTTAATATAAAATTTTCCATCTATTTTTAACACCTAATGATGAAAACATTCGGAAGGGTTATTAGTTAAAATACACTGGGGCAATATGTGTTGAAATATTTTGCTAAGAAAACTATACAGATATGTCCATGAAATTACTAAGGTTAATTTGATTCAATGGACTCTGCCTTTATTTTTAAAACATTTTCCAGTCCACAAACAACACACAATATGCTATAGAGCTATGCAGTGCTTTGAATTATACTTTACAGTATGTAGATGCAGCCCTTATCTGCATTTCTTTAAAATTGCTGTGTCTTTTCCTGAAAGCACATAGCTTCAGCAGTTGTCATGGGTTTGGAAAAAGGTACAGCTCTGTAGAGAGTTGCAGAGAGGGGTTACACTCAGGACCCTGCTCATCCCGAAGCATGGTTTTGTAATAAAATACAAAGTCTTGTACAACACTGCTCCATTAAGTTGCATGGTGTTAACAGGGATTGACATTTGTCATTTTGAAGAGTCATACCAGGGTTAACATTTATTTAGGACACTTCATTCCTTTTAGTCTGGCAGGTTCATAAGAGGGATCAAAATGCAAAGCAAAATGTTTTAGTAGCCTAATGGTTAAAAACTGTCATCTCGAAATATTTAGTGAAAAAAAAATGAAACAATGAAAGATATTCTAGAAGAATCTCTTGTGTGAATGAGATGACGATCATTAAATTCAGTGTCAACAAACAAACAAAAACAAATTCTCTAGTTTAGCTTGGGAAGATGAGCCTGACCTAATACATTATTAAACCACCTGACAATAAAAAAAAGATTGTATGGAAGTCACAAATCACTCATTTCTCCTTATCCATAGAAACAAGGAAAAATGAATTTATTTTGTTAAAGATAGAAAGAAGATTCAAGGATCATCCCCACCCTAACATTTAACCTTAAAGAACCTCAAATAGAAGGGCTGCAAAAGTCCATCAGCGATTCCAGTGCCAGTAACATTTTAGTTGTTTAGGGAAAGAACTGATTCAGTGACTGAACTCACAAATCACACTAAACCATGATTTGGTCAGTCTTTTTCGTAAACACTGGGTGGGTTTGTACAAGCAAAGTTATTACATTTATGGCTTAACTATGGCTTCAAGCCTCAGTAACTCTTGCTGGGTTTGCAGAACACGGTAAGCTGAAATTGCATCATTATGATATATAGCTGATTCTTCCAGCACGAAGAAAAAAAAATGTTAGTTTATTCTGGGCATCCCTTCTATATTCTTCATTCTAGTCTTTATTATAATAACACCAACATTCACATTGTTCTTTTAAACATATCAGATTTACCCGCATAGAGTCTAATTGTGAATGAAATCACAATTCTTTGGAAAAGACATGTAGTTCTTTTGGAAATGATGTATTTCTTTGTCAAGGGACAAAAGAGGTAGAGCAGAAACATCATGTATGATAACAGCCCTGTATTTCTCTCCAATGAAGTTTTTTCGCCACCTAATGTAAGTTTAGATTTGCTAAGAATATGGAAGGAGAGGAAGAGGAGATTTTTTTTCTTTTTGGGGGTGGGATGAAATTTGCCTTAAAGTCAAGGGCCCCCCCAGGGTCAGTGGTGCCTGTAAAACCAGGAGCAGAGGTTTGGTTTCAGGGTCACTTCTTCCATCTTGACTTTCTGCATGGCCATGAAACAGGAAATTTGACACCTTTGGAATTTTGAGTGCATCTTTTGAACTCTTGTCCTAAAATGGGATCTAGGATGGTAGAAGGTGAAATCCACCAGGGTCTGTCTTGAGCCTAAATGTGATTTCAGAAGTATACACTCCACTTAAAGCAGTGGTTCTCAACCTATGGGTCGCGACCCCATTTGGGGGTCGATCGACCATTTCACGGGGGTCGCCAAGCAAGGCTGTCCGCCATTTTTTTCCCCTTTTCCAGCGGGTGCCTTACCTCCCTTGAACTGGGCCAGCTGGTGGTCGGCCTGCTCCGTCTCTGCCGCTTGCCAGCTACGCCTCGGCTGGCGCAGGGGGCGGAACCACGCATGTGCGGCGCTCCCGGGCAGGGAAAGTCCTCGATTTACGACCGGTTGGGTAGTCCTCGACTTACGACCGGTTTAGTCCTCGACTTATGACCGGTTTAGTCCTCGACTTACGACCGGTTTAGTCCTCGACTTACGACCGATTGGGGGTCGTGGCATTAAAAAGGTTGAGAACCACTGACTTAAAGCAAAATTAGTTTTTTGTAATTAAAAGGAACTTTATCACGTTAGGCAGGGCAAGGAACGTAGGAGAATCACATTAGCACGCTGTCTGCTTTGGGAATGAATAATAAAGAGCAAGAAGCTCAAACAGCCCTCTTAGAAAAGTAGGTCTTACTGGGGGAATACGTTCCAACAACAGCAACAACAACAGCAGAAAGGAATAAAGTGTATAAAACTGCATAAAATGTGACAAGTAGCAGGAAAGCAGCAGCATTGTGCTTTAACTGCAATCCCTGTAGCGGAAGAACCAGGTTTATTTATTTATTTTTTCCAAACAATTTTTATTATTTTTCCACTTTACACCAACAGAAGCTTAAGAGCCAGCGTGGAGATATGGTGGTCAATTACAAAAGAAACAATAACATTATATAAATACAATTCACACAATGTTTCTTAAAATTTCCCTCTCTTATCTATGTAGAATATTATAATCAAGTAGATTCAAATAAATTCATTCATTGATATATCTAAATATAAATTACCTTAGTCAATAAAAACTTTCAACCGCTCAATATCAATATAATAATCAAATTAGAACAATCCTATAACCAATTCATTCATTAATATATCGCTATATATAAATTAAATGTTTCAATCAAAACTAACGCTCTCTATCTGTTTAAATTATTATAATCTCATTAGTACATTTCTAACACTAGTTTTCATTAAATATCTCGCTGAATATTCAGGTTAATTTATTTATTTATGCCCTGCTTATTGCTTGCAGAGCCTGGAGGTGTTGTGATTCTCGCTGTGCAGAAATGTAGTCTTATGTAACCCTTGGCAATACAGCTGAATGATCTGCGCTCCCTATGTCTGCATACATTTAGAAACCCTGGGGAAGATGAACACGAGAGGTTTTTTTTATGGACTATTTTGACCATATGGCTAGAAAATAGGATTTTCATGTGGTCACAAATATGTCTGCTGTGAGTTGCCACCAGAGACTTAGGTTAAGAACAATAGTGCTCTTTGGAGGGCATTAATGCTCACAGCTTGAAGCTATTAAAAGTGGCTTTCATACAGTGCTATCAATATATATCTGTATATAATGCTGCTACCTGCTATGAGAAAAGATAAAGTCATTATACCTGTAGACTTCAGGACTCATCCCAGATATTTTCCTGGGAGGAATATGACAGTGATTGGCATCCTTTCAGGAAGATTTTTTAAACTTCCCAGTCTATATCACTACCCAGGATTTCCTGATGGCGCTCCATCCAAGTACTAACAAGATCTAATCCTCTTGAAGAGGTATATTTCAGTAACAGATCTGAGCCAGATGAAGAAATTTCATCCCAGATATTTTCCTTTCTTTCCTCTCTGTCTTTTTTGGGATTGTCCAATGTCTCTCCGTATATTGCAGTCAGGAAAATAATGTTGTTTTCCCTGCAGTGATAGAAAGGGACTCTCACTTTTATGCTATCTACATGTTACACTCTCTGTTGTGGAAATACAGCATAAATGCTAATTGCCGTTATCTTTCTATTCTTTCCAAGAATGGGGAAAAAAATCATGAATATTTCAAACAATTCCTACCCACACACACACAGAAAACAAAAAGCAGAGACCTGGAAGAAAGGCAATATAATCAAAACTTTTCTTGCTTTTATGTGATAAACTTTTGTAATAAGAAAAAAATAGCTAGGTGCTAAAAGTCAAAGCCTTCTCTTACAGTCTTATTTATTTCCAGCTCAGGAAACTGCCATTTTCTTGGTGGGTCAACTGGCATCAGAGAGAGTGACCGGCCCAAAGTCCCCTATGTGTTTCTGTGTCAAAGGGAGGATTTTAACCTGAGTCTGCCCAATTATAGTCCAACACCTGAACCAGTGCACCACACCGGCCCTTTTGTGATTGGACATTTACCTTCAAATATAAAATTTGCTGAAAGAGAATTTACATTAGATGGTGCTTCCAGCATTTGCATCTCTCAAAATATACTGTTTAAGAAATTATCTCACATTTGGCATCATTTCTAAAGGCCAAACTATTAAAAGACAGAAGATGTCAGTTTCTCTTGATTAGGAACGAAGGACAAAGCTTATGCGATGAAGCTCTGGCTGACATAGAGTTGGGCATGATTAACACTTGATCATGGGAGACCTCTAAGAAATCCAAAGGCTGTAGGTTAGGCCGTGATGAAGTAACATCTGAGAGGGAGTTAAATAATGGTTGCAGGAAAACTAGACAATCTTCTCTTTGGGGTAACCAGAAGTGGCCATGACAGTGTGATCAAAGCTCTGTCGTGTGTGTGTGTGTGTGTGTGTGTGTGTGTGTGTGTCTTTGGTTGTATCGTGCCATCATTTTTTCACCATTCCTTTGCTTCTGTCTTTTGTATCACTCTGGGAGCTGGATTGAGATGCCAAGTTGAGGGACAATATTTGGGATGTCTTTCCTAAATCAAGGAGTTTTGTCTGATAGCTATGGAAGATCCACTGCAAACATTAGATTAGATTTGGTTTTGCCTGGGATGACCCTAGCTCAGTTATGTTGTTTCACTACTTCTCCTCAAGATTGTTGTGAAATCCCTTACTATTTTTTTACTTTCTTTAAAAAAATGTTTTGTTGCACAGATGCTGATGAATGTACAGAAGGGACAGATGACTGCCACATTGATGCAATTTGTCAGAACACACCTAAATCATTCAAATGCATTTGCAAGCCAGGTTATAAGGGAGAAGGAAAACAGTGTGAAGGTAAGATTAGCTGCTCTTCTACTTTGGCCTCTATCTCCTCTGAAAAGATGCTGGCTGATGCTAGCTAGCCTCTGGTTAATCTCAGATTGTGATGGTTTGTTAGGAAGAATGTCCTGCTGTTCTTGATCATTGTTGAGCACTTGAACTGTACTGCCCGCTTACTGTGAGCTACTTCTTTAAAACTGAGTTTGCTTTAATGCAGGAAGTTAAATTTAGAGATTCTCTTTTATTTAAGCGTGACTTCCTGGTGCCTGCTGTGGCTCTCTCTATGCCATATTTTGGGATGTGTTTGGCGGCATTTGGACCTCAAAATATTCAAAGGAAAAGAAAAGTGCCTTTTCTATATATGTCTTGCCCTATTTTGAAACTGAATTTGGAATGGGCTGCAAATGGAAGTATCTTGTTTTTCCTGGTGCCCTCTCTGTCAGCCTGTGGATAGCAAAGGTGCTGCAGATATTGTATAATAGTAATAATAATAATAATAATAATAATAATAATAATAGTAATAATAATAATAATAATAACAACAACAACAACAACAACAACAATAATATATAACAACTTTATTGTCACTTTGAATGTACACCAATCGGCATATATCAAAATGAAATTTCGTTGCATACAGTTGCATATAGCCATGTTAGTCTGTGGTAGCCAAAAATCAGAAGAGGCAACTCATGAAAACCTATGCCTTTGAATAAAATTACAATTATTCCTTGGAATAATTACAATGGAATTTTTACAATGGAATAATTACAATGGAATAATTACAATGGAATTTCCATTGCTAAGTGATGCGGTCCTAAAGCACAACCTCACGTGCCGGCATCAGTTAGCAACATCAATCCCAGCAGTTCCGGTTATTGTCAAAACCCCAGGACTCTGCATGTTGCTAAGTGGGAAGAGGTGAGAGTCCCAGGCAAGCAGACCAATGGGTGAGAGTTGTAGGTAGGAGTTGCTATGGAGTGTAGGCTGTGAGTAGATGCAGTAGGGCAGGTAGGCAAAAAAAAGCAGCAGGAGTAATTCCTGCTGGTTTTCCCATTGATTTGCTTGTGGGAAGCTGGCAGGGAATGTTGCAAAAGGGGATCATGTAATTTGTCCGAGATGGTATAGGGTTTTTTGCCTGAGCAGGGGGTTGGACTAGATGACCTCCAAGGTCCCTTCCAACTTTACTACTACTACTACTACTACTACTACTACTACTACTACTACTACTACTACTACTACTACTACTACTATTATTATTATTATTATTATTACTACTACTACTACTACTACTATGGGACGCAATAATCATTGTAATCGCAAGCCAGGTGCCAAGTGCCTGAATTGTGATAATGTAATTGCAGGGAAGCTGTGATGGCTACAACTTTGTGAACTGGACTTATGTCTCCTTTGTTCAGTACTGTCATAACACTGAACCACCTGATTATAAACCAAGGACTACCTGTAAATAATGAAATAATTAATTACATTAAAATAAAGTCAATTAGAAAAGATGCTATGAAATTTTGTGAGCTCTTTTTAAATAATTTCATTTTCTTTATGTTTTATTTGCTTATTTTTCACATTTTTGAACCGACCGTTTCCCTCAATTTGGGGCAAATGTGGAGTATATATATATTGTGCAAGAATAAAATAATAAGTTGGTTTCTCTAGCAAATTTGTATATTGTACCACTGGATTTTTATAAGCTCTGAGCACATATAAATAAGTTAAAAGTGCTGGTCCCTAAACATATCTCCAGGGAACCAGGGTTCTTACATTCCTTCACTGTAGGTTTGTATTTTACTCTTACTTTTGCTTCCTATTCTTAAACTAAACAGGTGAGGTGATTTGTTTTCTGATCTTTTCATAGAGCTCAAAAATATTTATAAAAAAGGATTTACTTCTATAGAAGGGATATATAATTTGTTCAGCAAAATCTGCCAATTTTTTTGTCCCTGAATCACTATAACTTGCTGACCATGTTAAACATAAGTTAAACTTGGAAACAAAATGACCAGAACACATGGTCTCCAGTAGCAATACCCAGATAAGCAGGGATTAACACCAGACAAATAATCAAGTAGAAAACATTATCTTAATCAAGGAAGTACCAAGGAGAAAAATAACATCTCCACCAGCACTAGAAGACAAGCTATTGTATATAAACAGGAATAAACCCCACACTTAGTAGCATGGATGATGTTACCTAATTGGGTAAAGAAACATCAGCAAGCAAACAACCAAGCTCCAAAAGCACTAAGGACTCCACAAACATGAATTTGCAGCATGATGCATCTGCAAATAAGGCAAATTCTCCTCCTCCTCCTCCTCCTCCTCCTCCTCCTCCTCCTCCTCTTCTTCTTCTTCTTCTTCTTCTTCTTCTTCTTCTTCTTCTTCTTCTTCTTCTTCTTCTTCTTCTTCTTCTTCTTCTTCTTCTTCTTCTTCTTCTTCTTCTTCTTCTATCCCACCTTTATGTGTTTGTGTACTTTTTTATACCACAACCCTTTGAGATGGTTTGACTGACAGAATGAGTGGCCAAAAGTCACCCAACCATTTTCATGCCTTAAGAGAGGTCTAGAACTCACAGTCTCTTGGGTTTCAGGCCCCTACCTGTTCATTACATCACACTGTCAATGCTACTTGGCATGCCTTAACTGGAAGATAGAGTTCAGATCCTGGGAAATAATTATCCCATTCTACTTTGTCCTAGTCTGGCACAGTCAAAAAGAATATTGAGAAATGATACCCAGTTGATGAGGGATCTCAAAACCAAATTCTACGAACAATGTTTAATTGTTTTTGGCATGTAGACTAGAGAAGAGACAACTGAGGGGAGATATGGTAGTAGTTGTCAAGCATTTGAAGGGTTGTCATATAGAAGAGGCAGTAGACTATTTCCCCAGAGAGCTGGGTCCAGAACAAATGACTTAAAACTGCGAGGAAGAAGATTCAGGCTAGACATCTCAGGTCTAGGATAACTCGCCATGGCTGACTTGCTGAGGCCATCTTGCCATGGCCATGTTTAATTTAATAATGTCAAACGAAACAGTGGTGGATAACATTTATCGCCTTGAGTTATCCCATGTGGAATTGTCCACGGCAAGTTGTCCTGCGATGAATTGGCCATGGCAAAATGGCTATGGCCAATTGTCGCATTCCACTCTCCCTGACTATATGAGTTCCAGCCAATGGAAGAAGCTACCATATAAGTTTTCCTCAGTCTTCAGATTTAGGGAAGATGGCCAATTTTCTGAGATGCTGTAATGGTATGTATACTGAACAAGGAGTTGAACTAGATCATTTTATGTCTGTGATTCCATGACTTTAACCATAATCTTTGCATAAATATATTCAGGAAAAAAATCATGCAACCAACAGTGTTTGCTTGGACTCTAAATACCCGTTGCTACATTTATATTCTTGTCCCATAATATTGGACGTTTTCCAACATTCTTGCAGAAATGAGACATACTATTTTGCATAGAGACATAGTGCATGTTTTTAGGTAATTTCCTTTTCTCTACATGAGAAGAAGAAATTACTTCTCTACAATTTAGACTCTAAACTTTTCTGCCATTTCAACAGAAAAGTCTAAAACATCATCTTTCATCCCTCACTCAGAGTTGCTGTTCAAACTTCTCAACCTTAACCCTAACCTGTAAGCATAGCAGAATTGTATAAATTTTAAAAAATGATATTTAACACATTACCTAATGTTGTGCAAGATATTTCCATAGGCATAATATATATATATTGTAGTCTGTATTTTCCTAGAACATTGAAAAACAGTGAATTTTTTCTTAATTGCAATTCTTTTAAACTATGATAAATCACTGAAATTCCATCTAGCAAACAGCAATTATTCACCTTACCTTAAGAATTTTGTTGCAGTGTTTGATGTGAAATGAGTGCCCAGGGCTTGTCTTGATCCCAAGTAGGCATGCCGAAGTACGCTTTTTAGGTTTTGCACATCTTAACAGACACTTTCACAGAATATTTTCTCACTCTTGTCTTGACAAACTGTCCACATACATAGCAAAATGCATCTTCTGGGTGCAAGCAACCTCTTGTATAAATTAAATATTGCTATTCACTATTCTCTTACTCAGCAGTTAGACAAAAAATGTTGGTTTAAGGCACTTGTATTTTTTATATTTCTATGGATACTACTGGATAGTCGCAGAACATGCTAGAATGTTCTAAAAGATTCCAGAAAGTTCTATAAAACCCTGGCCAATTCTAGAAACTTCTGGACAGTTCTCATAGTTCCAGAATATTCTGGACGTCTACTCAGCATTTTATGTGAATTGAGAATGTTCTTGAAAACAGATAAATTTCAAAATATCATTCTCCTGACCTCAGAGGTAAAGCTTTTGTGGAACAATAGCTAGTTTCTATTTATTTTAGGCATAAGGGATTAGGAAAACACACTTTGTACCCAGAAACAATAATTGAAATTTGTTACATGGTGTTATCCTTTTTCTTTATGGTTCCCTCTAGTCAACTTTTCAAGTCCTCTGTTATCACCTGTTTATTATCCAATACAGAAAACCTTCTCACAAGAGGATTTGGACATAAACATAGAATCATAGGGCTGGAAGAAACCTTGGGGGTCTTAAATGTTTGGAATTCTAATCTTAATTTCTTTGAACATACCTTTTTGCTATCCTTTAGAGAGCTAAGATGCTTCAGAGTCATTTTATCCGGTGGTTTAGTACTTGCTAATTCTGTTTGTTTTGAAATACATCGCCCCAAACCAAATTTGTGCAAACAGGTGATGGTCAATTTCATTCACTTTGTGTATTGTTTTAAAGTGTATATGAAAAAATATAAAAGGTAAGCTATATGTAGACAGGATTACAGATCAAACAGATTTGCTTAGATAATTCAAATGGCATAAAATTTCATGCTGAAAAGATACTTAAGGAATGTTAGGTGTATTCACATATGTAAAAAGATAGATGAGCCTTCAGTTGTGTTAGCATAGCTGCCATCTTGGCTTTTTGACCCTC